ACTTCTTTAGTGGGCTGACGCTTTCTTGATAATGTGTAGTTCTTTATATTGCCAGAATTTTCGGTTGAATGTATGTTTTAAATGCACCCCACACTGCAGCTTGCCTCTGTACTTTGACTGCTGTTTGCAGACGTATATAGTTCCATTGACCAGTTGAGCCTTCCTTACTACCAGTAATTTAAAAAATCATAAAAAATAAAAACTGGAGTAGCTCCAAATCTTGACAACCCCAAGAGAGTTCGACTAGAACTAGCTACACTGGGTCTGAAGTTGCCTGTGGGTGGAACAGAAGCTCCAAACTTTTGGTTAGCATTCGAATGCATGAATTCAATTAGTAGGGCTGAGGGATTCCTTTTACTAATAGTACAATAGCAGCGTCTCAGAAATCCTTCTTCATCCATGAGTAGGAAGATACTCTCCTGCTATCTTCTAGAATGACTGATGTTACCTTCCACTTTAAACTTGCAAGGGGGCTTCAGAAAGTTCATGAGAAAAATGTAATTAAACAATAAAGGAACCTCCCCCAAGTACTTTCTGAAGCCCCACCCCCACCCCACACAGACAACTGATTTGAAATGAATTTCTGAGTGTGGTGGAAGGTTGTTGTTTCGTGAGGTGCAATGGTGCCAGTTCCAGCCCATAGCGACCCTGTGCACACAGAACAAAACATTGCCCAGTCCTGTGCCATCCTCACCATTGTCCCCAGGCTGGAGCCCATTGTTGGGAGCCACAGGGTCAATCCATCTCCTTGAGGGCCTGCCCCCTTTTCACTGCTCCTCTGCTTGACCAAACATGATGTCCTTCTCCAGGACTGGGCTTTGCCGACACAGCCTACGTGAGGAAAATGAACTCTCCCCATCATTGCCTCTAAGGATACTCTGCCTTGGCCATACTTCTTCCAAGACATATCGGTTTGTCCTTTAGCTGTCCGCAGCACTTTCACTGTTCATTTCCAGTACCACAAAGCATCTATCTCTCTTCAGCCTTCTTCATTCAATGTCCAATGTCCACATGCATATGAGGCAAGTGAAAGTACTATGAATTGGGTTGGGTGCACCTTCGTCCTCCAAGTAACCTCCTTGCTTTTCAATACTCTGAAGCCAAAATTCATTTTTTCCCAAAAGTATGCCCAATTGACACAGAACAATGTATTTAAAAGAGGGCTCAGCTGTGCAAAAACGATCACAATTTCAGAGTCCAAAAAGTAAACCTAGTCATCTGTGAGATTCCCATCTGTTGAACTGTACTATTTCTCAATCGAGGCAATAAAATGTAATTATTATAGTTTCACATATAGTAGAGACCTGAAGAGAGGTCTTCAATTATATTTCTCTAAACATTTGTGAGCTATGGCTACATCCTTACACATTTTAGAACTGAACTATTTTCTTTTTAAAGTACCTGCTTCACATTGATTTGGGATTCCTTTAAATCTCTAGATCAATTTGGGAAGATCAGAGATCTCTAGTCTTTCTAATCCATTTATATATTTTCCTTTTACTTAGGTCCTCTCTAATTTCTGTTTTAATTTTGCATGAAAGGGATTGCACACGTATCATTAGGTTTATTCCTTAAGTAGCTGAGGACAACATGAATTGCATTGATGCTAAATGATTTTCAGTATATAACTGCCCAGTATTTGGATAAGTAGAATTACAACTAATTTTTTTAATATGCTGATCTTATATGCAACAACCTGTTAACAATCTAGTTTTTGTTATTGTTTTATTGTTGTCTTGAACTGACTGGAAGCACTCATACAATGTTGAATAGAAGTGGTCAAACTGGGTATTCTTATCTCATTCTCAATCGTAGAAAGAAAGCTTTCACCATTTCACCATACTTGCAGTAGCTTATTGTTGTTGTTTATTTTGATACTTTCTATTTGTTTACTTGATACATGTTAACATATGAACATTTTGCTTAGCTCATAATTCCATAGAAATCCTATCATGAACATGTGCTGATTTAAGCTAAATTTCTTCCTGCATCTTTTGAGATGAACATAATGCTTTTCTTCTTTACGTCTTTAATATACTAATTATCTATATTTGTAACTAACCTTATAGCTAGCCCAATCTGTTGCATAACTTGCTGAATCCATTGATGTTTTCAGCATCTACATTCACCACCAAAAAAAGGACTATAGTTTTTCTTATCTGTAATATCTTTTTCATATTTTATTAGGGTTATCTTGGCCTCATAAGCCGCAAGATAATTATTTTTGTTATCTGGAATTTGGGGATCATGTTAATGGTTTCTTAAATGCATGTTTCTTAAACATTTACCAAATTCACCAATGTAATTAACTGGGCCTGGAATTATTTTGTGTGTTTTTTCATAATCATTTGTTTTTATATTTATTTTCTGTTCAGAGAAGATTTTAATTGTAGATTCTATTCCTTAGATATGCCTATACAATTTTTCTATCTCATATATTTTCCAAAGTCTGGTTATTTTATATTGTGCCAGATACTTAATAGGATATATTTAAGAAATAAATTAAAGTTCTGCATGATGTGCTTTTCCTCAAGAAAATTTAATTTTGGTTCTGCCAGTGTGCTAGGCTATAAGAATTCACCACAATTCAATAAGAGATTGTGATGATCCAGCACCGATGCTCACAGTATAGTTTAGAACTAGAAGGACCAGACTAAACCTGTACATTGTAGTATGGCCCTTCATTAGCCCCACTGGAAATCCAACTCTGGTCATCAAAAGTCAACCTGACCAAAGTTCCACTCAGTTCTCAGTTCTCAGAATTGACAAGGAGAAAGGCCATGGGAAATGCTGGTCTCACTTCTTTTGACACTCAGCATTTCCTAGATAATCACCTGAAAATTCTCACTCCCTTGATAATTCTACGATGCTAAAAATGGATGTAATTTCTGATTTTCTTCAGCATTAAATATGATTTTAAAATAAGCTTGTTTTACCATTGAAAAAAAAGAATTCCTCTAGAAACACATCTTTTGAGATCTAAATAAGAAGGCTCTATCACACCCTGTCTACGGAAAAATAAAGCCAGTTCTGAGGTAGTGAAAATGAAAGAGCAGTCTAGAGTCAGCACATAATAATGACATATGTAAATTATCTCAAACACGACAAACAAATCTGATAGACAGTAGAACTGACATAACATGTCAAAAATAACAAAAAGTATCCAAACTGTACGAATGCTATAAATTTTAAATATAATTTTTTTTTTAATTGAATGCTCCCCGATGAGTCTATTAAGAAGCCCTGGTGGTGATCTGGGTTACAGATTGGGTTGCTAACTGCAGGGTTGGGGGTTCAAACCCATGAGGCACTCCATAGGAGAAAGATGAGGCTATGTGCTCCCATAAAAACCTACAGTTTCAGAAACAATATAGAGAGCCATTAGGAGTCACAGCAGATAACAGAGAGCTTTTAAATTATTTTATTAATCTTTTAAAATAATATAAGACCCATGAAAATATTATAACATATTACATGTAACCTATTTCTTGTTAGTTAACAAAATAATGGCAGTCTTTTTTTTAAAACCTAAGGTTTTGAATGTTGAAACCTTAGGTTTCAAAAATTACAAATTACTTCATTAAATTCATGTAAGGAACAAGTATCCAATATTGATTTTGCACAATCCAAAATGGATGATCGTACCCTCCTATACAAAAGTTCACAATGAGACGGACTCGGGTATACAAGGCTGTGGAAACTGAGCACACTTTCATGCAACAACTAAATCTCTCATTCTCACTAATTCTCGGCTACTAATACTCGCCTAAGATCTTCCCCTGAGCATTGTTAGACTCGTTATTATTACTGTAGGAGGTGATCTTTCCTCAATGCCGAAGCAATTGCCCTTCCTTATTGGTGGAATGCAATCTAAAATACACATAAAAAAAATGCTAAGCAATGCACAGTGTCTTGATCAATGAGCCATGAGGCTCCTTGCAAAATCTCAAGGAGAGTAAATTAAAAATGTGAAAATGGAAAACAAAAATGCAATGTATAAACTATGTAAAAGAAAAAATATTTAGTTTATTTTAGTATCTAAAATAGAGACTGCCATAATTTTGTTAACTAACAAGAAATATGGAGAGTTAGCAAAATCACCCAAAGGAAAAGTCTTAAATTTTCTAATTCCTTTTTTTTTTTAAGCTAGCATATGTATGTCTGAAACCAAATGGAGCCTGGCAAATTAAGATTTCGTGAGACCCTGTATTTCGTTCAAATCTTGACAACAGGTTCATGCTCCAAGTTTAAAGGAATGCATTGAATCTTCAAACATTTCCCAGCTTTTAGAGAAGGAAATAAGTCCAACAAAAATACAATTGTAAAACTTAAGACACCCAGAAAAATCAATAAACAAGAAAGTAATGAATAACAAAAAGAGCACGGTGAATATGAACAGTCAATGTGCTGAACAAGAAACACAGAAGTCAAACGCACACGTGAGGAAAAGATGCCCATACGGCCTGCTGGTGAAAGTACGTGTGCAGGGCTGCAAGTGTCTGAAAGAGCAAGTGTAAGACGGTCCATGGGGCATTGTGTACGGCAATCAAAAGGGGAAAAGCTACTTCCGGGCTTTGCATTTCACACCAAGTTAGATAGTGAGGGTCAAGAAAGACTTCCTTGATTTTCAAATGACAATGAACTTGGGATACAAAGGAGAAGCTCCAGGGCAGGTCACTTCTTAGCTCCGAGTATCCCTGGGCAATGGAGTGGTTCGTCGGAAAGAGCGTGACAGGAGCACACAGAAGTACCGCATACAAAGAAAGTGCTTCCGTGACACCAGACTTTATTCTAAAACCAATCATTTAACGGTATTGGTAGGAACAGAGAGTATGTATTATTTTGTGCTTCCCCTTCATTACATAATAGCCTGGCATCCGTTGAACTAATGAGACTTCAAGAATTTCGCCCTGAAAATATGAACTACCAGTGTTATACAAACATCAGATAGAACGAGCTTCAAATGTCCTCCTTATCAGGCTTACACCCGGTCTACTCACCAAGTCTTAGTGTTAACGTCATACTTATAGAGATCATCTACCAGTCCATACTTGTTGCCTGGTAATGCCTTATAGCCTCCATGCACATAAATGGACTTTGTGATTTCATCATACACACTAGTGTGGCCATATCCTCCTTGTACAATAGCTCCTTTTGTGTCTGGAACAAGCCAAGTGTTCGATGCTGTAAAAGAAAGAAGATTGAGCATGAAACGTGTGGTAGTATTAAGACACATAATCACTTTACTGCCAAAACTGCCAACAAGTTCATTCTCTCTGCATGCTTCTATGACTAAATACAGTAGACTAATAACCTTTTAATCGAGCAACAGTTATTAAAAATATGCCAGGGACTATGCTACGTGCTGGGATTAATGCTGAATAAGGCTGGTTTTTCCAAAATCAATTAAAACTCTAAAAGACTGAAGATACCAAAAGGTTTTGTGCAAAAGGAAAATGTATTATCACAGACATTGCTATATTAAGAAAGCACCTTAGGGCAAAAAAAAGGTTAATATTTTATGAGATCCTATGATGTGGCAGGCTGAGTTAGCCACTGTCATTACGAATATTAAAAAAACACACGGCGCTTGCCATTTATAAACTTAAATGAATTTCTATGTTGAAAACATGTTACCACTGTACTTGTTTCTAATCTTTTAGTTCTTAACCCCCTTTTTTTCTTCTCTAGACTTCTTTGTGCTGAGAACACACTCAAGGCAACTGAATCCATGCTGACTCATGGCGACCCAACAGGACAGGTGGAACTGCCCCTCTGGGTTTCCAAGACTGTAACTCTTCACTGAGTAGGAAGCCCTGTCTTTCTCCCGAGGAGTGGCTGGTGAGCATGGCAGCCTGCACATGAAATGTCCAAGGCTCCCATAAGAGCTGAGTGGCTGTTAGCAGCCAGCAGGGGGACGGTGGGGCGATGGGAAGGCAGCAGAAACACAGACCCTGTGCTCTGGGCTCGAGCAGCAGGAGCAAGCAGGCAGCTGCAGTTATTGCACAGGATCTGGTACACAGTGGCGGCAGCACCACCTTAAGAGCTCGGGGGTAAGTGCGGGCTCAGTGGGGAATCTGTACAGTACATCCTAGGTTTCTGGGTAAATTCCTCCCATTGATGTCTATCCTTTCTAACACTTTTGCAATTATTGCCCTGTATTAAATTCCATTCTGCTTTGGCTACGTAGAAATTCATAATACCACGGAGTAATTTCTGATGCAAAATGAATATCTATCTCTCTGACAGTGTCGTGGCTTACACATTGAGCTGGTAACTACAAGGCCAGCAGTTCCAACCCACTAGCAGTCCCCTGAAAGATGAGGTTTTCTGTTCCTGTAAAGTGTTACAGTCTCAGAAACCCACAAGGGCAGTCTTACTCTGTCCAATGGTCAGAATCAACTGGTTCACAATTTTTGGTTTGGGGAAGATATTTCTATCTTGATTAATTCCTCATTTAATAAAGATTAAAATGCTATACACTAAACCCACAGGGGCAGTTTTATTCTTTCCTATAGGGTTGTTATGAGTCTAACTCAACCGGATGGTAGTGAGTTTGGATTGGTTGGGGTCTAGCCATAATTCCTTATATGATGTATGATAGTCCTGCGTTTTGTGCCCTTGGCTATGATCCCATTTTGGAGGGAATTCCCTACTATATTAATAGACATGATTCAGGTGAGATTCATCTTGATCTTGGTAGAGGATGTGAACCAAGTCACCCCCTTTGTTTCTTTTGGGGTGGGGGTATGCTAAAAGACAGACATCACCTCTATCAAAGCCAGTCCGACTTCTGCGTATAAGAGCCATCTCAGACACAGAGAGAAATCCCCGGACCGTCAGAAGAAGACCATGTTGGAGAG